AAAAGAAAAAGCTCTGGCAGCTGGCACCAATCAATTAATCTTTTATTGAACGTAATCTAATGACAATAATTTAATAAGAACAAACAGAACACAAAGTTAATATTAATCTATAAATAATAATCTATAAATATTAATCTATAAATATTAATCTATAAATAAAAAAATTAATAATAATCTGTAACTATTAATCTATAAATAATAATAATCTATAAATAATCCTCTGTAAATAATAATCTATAAATATTAATCTGTAAATAATAATGCATAAATATTAAACTGTATATACTATCTATGAATGATAATCTTTAAATAATAATCTATAATAGTAATCTGTAAAAAATATCTATAAATGATAATCTATAAACAATAATAGGAGGTAGACTTAATTTAAAAAAAAGGTTTATTTAATTTAAAGCTTTTATTATATAGATTAATAACATCAATAAAGAACTACAGATTATATTAAATTATTCCCATTATTATTATTATTAATATTATTATTATTTAATTCTTCAGTCATTTTAATTGCAAAAAGGTGGTTCAATTCAGATGTGACTTACAGAAATATATATATGTAACAGTTTACAAACTATATAAACTATATACATATAATTAACTATATAACTATGTATATAAAATACAAACAAAGAGAAGTCAAGCTTTGCCAGGAGAAACTTATGTTATTAAAAAGAGAAAGAGGACCATATGTTGACAGTTTTAATTGCCTTTTTGTTGTTGGAGCCAGATTTCAAATTAATATAATGTACAACTTAAAATTACTTAGAATGTGGAATTAATAAATTTATAATGAAGTACATATTTTCTTTACTTTGACTTCTATAAAAGCAAAATACCACATTCTCCCCCAATAAGGCAAAGTCTTTATAAATATGGTCAATGAGTAAAATGTTCTGGTGTGTAAGCAATACCTTCACAAAAAGAACAGTTTGTATTGATGTTTCTTTTAAATGTAATGTATGTAATGATTAGCAGGCTAATATCTGTGAATTATTCTTTACCACACTTTGTTTACTATCAGGTATCTGTGAGGAATCATTCAGTCAATGTTGTTTACAAATCGGTTCCAATAAAAAATTTGGAATAGATTCTTTCTGAAACAAGGCACCAATGTTCTTATTATTAAAATAGATCTGTCCAACAGGTGATTGAGCCACAGCGAGGAGGGAGACAGAACTGGGTGGAGGTCTGTCAGTATTTCTAACAAGCATTATTGGGCCTAATGGAATGACGTCAAATACAACTGCAAATTCTCGTGACGTAACTGGAATATTATATATATATATATATATATATATATAAAATATTTATATTATATATTATTATTTCTATATAATCTCTGTTAGTGTTTCTGTATAATCTCTGTTAGTGTTTCTATATATAATCTCTGTTAGTGTTTCTATATAATCTCTGTTAGTGTTTCTATATAATCTCTGTTAGTGTTTCTATATATAATCTCTGTTAGTGTTTCTATATAATCTCTGTTAGTGTTTCTGTATAATCTCTGTTAGTGTTTCTATATATAATCTCTCTGTTAGTGTTTCTATATAATCTCTGTTAGTGTTTCTATATAATCTCTGTTAGTGTTTCTATATAATCTCTGTTAGTGTTTCTATATATATCTCTCTGTTAGTGTTTCTATATAATCTCTGTTAGTGTTTCTATATAATCTCTGTTAGTGTTTCTATATATAATCTCTGTTAGTGTTTCTATATATAATCTCTGTTAGTGTTTCTATATAATCTCTGTTAGTGTTTCTATATAATCTCTGTTAGTGTTTCTATATAATCTCTGTTAGTGTTTCTATATAATCTCTGTTAGTGTTTCTATATAATCTCTGTTAGTGTTTCTATATAATCTCTGTTAGTGTTTCTATATAATCTGTTAGTGTTTCTATATAATCTCTGTTAGTGTTTCTATATATAATCTCTGTTAGTGTTTCTATATAATCTCTGTTAGTGTTTCTATATAATCTCTGTTAGTGTTTCTATATAATCTCTGTTAGTGTTTCTATATATAATCTCTGTTAGTGTTTCTATATAATCTCTGTTAGTGTTTCTATATAATCTCTGTTAGTGTTTCTATATAATCTCTGTTAGTGTTTCTATATAATCTCTGTTAGTGTTTCTATATATAATCTCTGTTAGTGTTTCTATATAATCTCTGTTAGTGTTTCTATATAATCTCTGTTAGTGTTTCTATATATAATCTCTGTTAGTGTTTCTATATAATCTCTGTTAGTGTTTCTATATATAATCTCTGTTAGTGTTTCTATATAATCTGTTAGTGTTTCTATATAATCTGTTAGTGTTTCTATATATAATCTCTGTTAGTGTTTCTATATAATCTGTTAGTGTTTCTATATATAATCTCTGTTAGTGTTTCTATATAATCTCTGTTAGTGTTTCTATATAATCTGTTATTGTTTCTATATATAATCTCTGTTAGTGTTTCTATATAATCTCTGTTAGTGTTTCTATAT